GATTTATAACAATGTTATAATAATCATACACTAAGTATATCACTGGCTATCCGCGCAGTAGCCTGTACGACAGGTGTTGCAATCCTTGGTGACTGAAACTTAGTCAAGGTATTGATGTAACGAAACAATACACGACGTTTCACGACCCCCTACTCAAGTGCTCTGCTAACGCTAGGCAGAAAATGCTCATTATCGAACTTGGTCACTGTATTGATATAATGAAACTATACACCAAGTTTCAACACTTTTACTTAATCAGAACCACATAAGTTATCGTGTCCCAAAACCATTATCAATTAAATTGCTTATCTCTGCTTACACTAAGCCGAGACTGCTCATCATAGAACTCTATCAGGGCACTGACCTTATAAACACCTACTCCAAGTTTGAACATACTAGCTCAATTAGAAGGAGAGCTATGGTGTCCCAAAATATGTGACAGACAGACAGACGGTCAGGAGCATTTTAATAGTATCATGTTGGTTTTTTTTTTTCGAAAGGTGGATGACAATCTATTCCAACCTTGCATGTAACGATATATCCCTTAAAGCAAAGTCAACTAAATAACTTGCTAATTATGTATTAAATGCTACGTTTGTAGAACTAGAGGACTTCTTCTTGTTGTGTTTACTTTCTGGTGATCTTTAATAAGACTACAGCATAAATAGTTTCACTCCTTTATTTCTAAGTTGTAATGGCTTTGCAGGTTCCTCGTTCTCAATGATAATGGCTGGTAGGAATTTCTGGGTGAGCTCTTATCCAGCTCGCCTTTACACCCTAATTTATACCCCCTAATTTCTGCAGGTCTTCGATAACCTTGACGTTAATTTCCACGCCATATAAGGAATAAACTCTTTATTTCCCACAAATAAGATAGGAAACATTACCTATTTTTGCTCTATCAACCATAGGTCAATAAACAGCCAGAATTTGATGACTATTTTGACAATGATTATAATTTGACCAAAATATCACTGTTTTTTACGAATAACTATACCCACGTTCATTAAGTACGTGAGATTTGACTTTATAGACAAAATTGAAGAGACAATTTTATAAAGACCATTAAATTGTCTCAAGGGCCAAAGTGTTACACGTTGCACTGGTAATGTACGAAGTGTTTACAATATCTCTATTGGCTAACTGTATAAATCTGTAACTATGGTTGTAAAATGTTTACCTACTTATTAAAAAAAACCCAATTGACTGCCGGATATGAAATTTGACATTATGGACAGGCGCATAGGCTGGTGACATTTTCTTTTTTACCCATGGTAAAAGTAGCTCCGCTGGCACTGCTATCCTTCTTTCTCTACAAAAGGCTTAAAAATGTAGATCTTATAAAACCTGTAGGAGATCTTGCACTCGGCAAACCTTGGAAGATTCCGTTACTCTACATCTGGTCCCGGTTGTATCACGGTAAGTGATATGTACCTACGCCTATACAATTGCGATGCGGCACCGGTTTACTTATTAGGAAAACTTGCCGCTTTTAAAAAGAAGTTATCAAAATTGCGTCGTTCGAAGCGTGTGTAGAATTTTCAGTGCAAGCTAAGTTGTACTTGTTTGAAGAAAATCGGATTAACTTGAAACCAAAACAGCTTCAGACTTTGAAATATTTGTATGATAAAACATTCTTCAAAGGCGTCGTCATGGGCAACACCATTGGTAATCCGGGAACTTGAAAGTAGTTCCAATGGCAGATTTCGTCATACAGCCGAAGGCTAGATGTAGGGTATTGGAATCTGCTGAGGTTTACCGAGTGGGAGATCCTGTAGGATATTATAATATTTTACAGATTGATATTGAAAATCAACCGTTTATAATAATTAATACATACAGTCCCATATAGCGATAAGAATCAACAATTTCATTACAGCTATACGATAAAATTAAAGATGTTACTGATAACCATGAGTCAACAATGATTTTAGCGGGAGATTTTAATAATATCGTTGAACAAATTTTAGTTTGATTAGGTGGCAATTATCGCATGAAAACGAAAGGACAATATACTATCTTAAAATATTAACGATTTTACTTTAGTTGATATATTTAGGACCTTATATCCAGTCAGCAAACAAATGAAATGAAATGGGGTTTAACGTCCCACTGTTCTGCTCCTACTGGGGTATTGAAGACGGGCATACGCCATACAGTGTGTTACGAGGGAAATCTTGCCCGGACAGCGGCACTATGGCCTACTCTTATATCGAATTGCAACTGTCAGGGGATCTTTACGTGCACACCAATGTATATACGTGTCCTCGGTTTTTCGTTTTCGTACCATTCGAATGACTAGACAGCTGTTCTTGTCAGGCCCTCCGTTCTGAACCACTGACAAGAGGAAACCACGCTGGAAAATCTAGATGAACTTTCTCCGCCATTGGATGGATCGAACAAGAGACCTCTGGGCTAGCGATCTAGCGTCTTACCCACTTAGCCAACGTGGCTCCCTGGCCGCAAACAGTTTACATATTTGCGAAATATCGGACAGCCTTTTTCTGGATTTCTGTGTACAGTTGGAACAGATTAGGCGAAAACGACACCGTACGTGCAAAATTAACTCCATATATATAGAACAATGCATATCAAATGTCTGTCTTCATTGAGCTGACCGGATGTGAAAGACGCATATAGGACCTTAAAATCCAGTTCATTTCACTTATGAAGTGCACTTGTTTCACTTTGCGATGTTACCAGTACCAGATCTAGGGTGGACAAGAGGAACAAATGCTGCCACCATATCATATTTTGGGTTGAATAAAAGGTTCTAAATTGATACGATTGGCTGTGGTTGGTAACTTAATCGACTTTTGGCTAATGTTATCTTATATAAACTTTTTATTATTGGCTGTTTGTCTTTGAAAAGAAAGAGGGAGAGAGAGAGAGAGAGATGGGGCTTAACGTCCACTCGACACAAACTAGGTCATTTCGGGAATAACATATGGTTTAATTTTATTTCAATATTTCGCTTGCGTATAGGGTTCTTTAGAAGTGGGAGGAAACCGGAGGACCTGGAAAAAACCCACGAGGTTGGTCTTTGAAAAGAACCGATTGGGATTTTTACCATTGATCGAGTTTGATATTTAGGTTCTAATACAAAAAAACATGTTCAGTGTTTATAATTTATTTAACTTGTCGAACTCGCCCATGATATACATCAGCTTAAACCAGATGGAATCTATTTTACAATATTAGGCAACTAGGTCAATCCGGCCCTGAATATAAAAATACAATTAAGAAGGATTCAAATTAAACTGTAATAAACCTGTTTGACATTTAAAATGATTATTTTGACAGTGTCGGTATTTTAATTGGTGAAATTCGTGAGTATGACATTATACTGATAGAAAGATTTAAATGTGTTTAAAGCGATAGTGGCATATTTTCTGAGAAAATGAAAACATAATTATTTCTATATCTGTTGCTTAAAGGTGCCTTCTCGCGAACCAATTATGTGATTTGATGATATATTTATATTTGGACCAAAAACTAATTCAAACTAAATTAATCTATTGGAAATGTGCTTCAAATCCCTCTCAAAATTCTGCATTTCCGGGTTAGATATCCCAAGCTATAACAAAATTTATTTTTAGAAGCGATGTTTGTCACCTAACTTGAGGGAGGGTCATATTTCAGAATGTCGATTACGATTTATCATACATATTGAGGCCTAATTCAATTCTAGAAATATTTTCTGCCAACGTCATTTCCTGTTGTTAAATTGAAGAATCTGCTATACGTTTACACCTCCAAATATTGCAAAACCGCCTAACCATTCAATCAAGCAACAACATCTAGCGGGCAATAAGAAGCCTGACATTTTAAAGATACCTTAGTTAAAAAAAGAGCTGACCATTCTTGCTATAATAATTAAAAATAGATGATAAAAAAAGAAAATATTGAAAATTTCAGTCAAATTACTTGATTCTGAACGGAGTTGTCACTGTTGGGAGTTTGGAATAGGCATCAACATATTCTCGATTATCAAGCAGGCCTTTCATCACCAGGCCTTTCATCCGGTAGTGACGTCAGTGACTAACGGTAAACCTTGATTTAATGGACGAGAAATTGAATTTAGAAACACGCACGTTAGGCAACTCAACAATTTTTTTAAGAGCCTTGTAAAAGTAAAATGAAACTACTGCTATTGTCATGTTCTTGCATAACCCGATTGTTTCAGAGAAATTATTTGTACTAAACCAAAAGATGCCGCTCCCAATGGTACAGTTAATGATAAAACAATTTAAAAAAAACGAACATAAATTCTAAAGCTGCTGTCATAACCAAAAAGCTAAATATTACTGCTATTCAGAATCGCCAACAATAGATTTTTTACGGCTGTAATAGTTGGTAGATGTGTAGAGGATTGCACGTGGGATGGTTATTTGTAGACTCTAGCGCTGAGTAATATCGCACTGCGCGATTAACCAGAAATCACTTCGAGACAAGCAACTGAAGCCAGAACATTCGCCATGTCGAGTTCCTCTTTCTGTAGAGAAAATTTTCACTGCACTGGGCACCGTAGCAATAGGCAGATTTAACTCCTGCAACTATCGCTTTAAATATATTTAGCAAATCTCCGTGTTCGATAATGGTGTTCATCTTTGAAACAGCACCACAGAATATACACCAAACAAGGACGGATCCAGTTGGGCACCCCGTCACCTATTTGAATCGGGCGGAGGGGCACTTTAGATCCGGATTCCTGTCTCGGATCACTGGAAATTGCGTTTCCGAGCTACTGGTTTTCGAAATTTTCGGGAGGATGCCAATCGGACACGCAGGTTTAGCCACCCGGGCGCCCACACCCCTATTCATGGACTCATGATTCGCCGTTGATAATTATCCCGATTAATATGAAAAGAACTCGATTACTAACTACACCTATTAAGTGTATTTAACTACGGTGTTGAATTTAAACTAAAATATCATAGTTAATGTCAAAGTATTGCGATATATAATTATATGTTGTATTTATCTATAAATATAAGCTATTCAGTTGAAACTTAACTTTAGAACAGTCATGACGACTCTACTTATTATTCTATGGGTGATTCTACCATTCTATACGGACTGTATAGTATTCCCTGGACAAGGTAACCTATTTATTATTATACCATTCTATACGATGTACGTAGTATTCCCTGGACAAGGTAAACCATTTATTATTATTATACCACTCTATACGGACTGTATAGTTTTCCCTAGACAAGGTAAGCCATTTATTATTATTATACCATTCTATACGGACTGTATAGTATTCCCTGGACAAGGTAACCTATTTATTATTATTATACCACTCTATACGGTATCTATATGTCCATTTATAAAGCGCTATATCCACAAAACATGCTCATGGATCATGATAACCTAATAATATAATTTAAACAGGTAAGTTTCCAAGTCAGATTTGAATTTATTAAGTGTAGGACTTCTGTGAAGGTATAATGGTAGTTTGTTCCACTTTGTAGAAATCGATATTGAAAACAGGCAAACATGTAATACTTTTAGTAGAATTTTTGCTCGAGAAATAACATATTCGCATAATATGTGATATGTACTTAAAATACGTAAATCAACTTAGGGTTTGAATGACGTGGTTTTAGCTAGTATTATTATATATTATGCTTGTATCCATATATGTATTCGGCTATGCTATATAAAATGTAGAAGCGAACTGTTGCATTGTTATTCCTGGTAAGACAAACGTCTTATGAAAACAGTAAGAGAACTGTAAGAAGTAAATATACAACGTGAAGCAGAAGTAAAGACAGCTAGAGACAAATTCTAGACGATCACAAGGCTACAGAAATATGTAGTAAGAAAAGATGCATGGGTCGTATGTAGGGTGTGGCGACCGGTTCCCCTTACCCGCTCTCCACGTCAGACAAAAGACCTATGGTGCTACATATTATGTACTTTTTTCAGTACTGGACTGATATGAGAGCGTAGATTTGACCTAGTCACAATGCGAGCAGCTGTATTTTAGATGCTTTGTAGACGTCCCATTTGATATTTTGATATGCCGACAAGTAGGCTATTACACTAGTCAACAAGGATGTGACAAGGATGAAACGAACCAATTAAAGCAAGTTCGGGTTATACCAAATTCGGTTTCCAGTCGAGGGTGGTCGATGGTGTCAAATGCGGCCGACAAATCCAAAAGAATCGGGAGGGATATTTCTCCTCTATCGACACATTTGATCAGATTATTTATTACACAATTTAGGGCTGTTTCCACACCATGTTTAGATCTGTACGCAGATTGAAATTTATACAACAGATTTTGTTCATTTTTGTAATTCATTTATAACCTGTGAGCTGAGATTATGTTGTGATGGTTTACATGACTGTGGGTTGATTTCAAGAAGTCTGGCTAGTATGTACAAGTGATGATTTCTCATGATTAATGACTGGACAGCCAGGTTGTTTAAAAACTGGAGACTCTATTGATTTCACATATCCAAATAAACAGAGATTAAATCCACAATTTACACATCAATTAAAGTGTTTACAAATGAAGAAATATCATGAACACTTGGAGGTTATCCTTATCCACTGTTGACACGAATTCGTATCATGGTTACTATGGAAATTCGGAGAAATTTGAAAACTTAGAGAGAACTCTGAATGCTGTATGTTAAGCGCTAAACGCCAGGGGGATCACGTGGCTAAGTGGGTAAGACGCTAGCTCGCTAGCCTGGAGGTCGGGTGTTCGATCCCTGCATTGGCCGAGAAAGTTCATCCAGATTTTCCGGCGTGGTTCTCCCTTGTCAGTGATGCAGGACGGAGGGGCTGACAAGGAAAGCTGTCTAGTCGTTCGGATGGGACGAAAAACCGAGGTCCCGTGTACACATTGGCGTGCACGTAAAAGATCCCTTGGCAGTTGGAATTCGATATAAGAGTAGGCGATAGTGCCGCTGCCCGGCCAAAATTTCCCTCATAGCACACTGTATGGCGTATGCTCGTCTTCATTAGCCCAGGTTAGGAGCAGAACAGTAGGACTTTAAACTCCATTTCATTTCATTTCATTTCATTTAGCTAAACGCCAGTCAGTCACTCACGTATCTATTTTATTATACCATTCTATACGGACTTTATAGTATTTCCTGGACAAGGTAAACCATGTAGTATCATTATACCATTCTATACGGACTTTATAGTATTTCCTGGACAAGGTAAACCATGTAGTATCATTATACCATTCTATACGGACTTTATAGTATTTCCTGGACAATGTAAACCATGTAGTATCATTATACCATTATATAAGGTATCTGTAGTCTTCTCTAGACATGGTAAACCATGTTATTATTATTATTATTATTATTATACCATTTATATTATTATACTCCCCAAAATAACGTTTTTGTGTTCCGGGTAACTTTTCAAATTATTCGAAATACAAATATTTCAGATGAAGGTCCTCTTATTGCCGTACTGGGATTAGATCAAAGAATGGAGATCTTTGATCCATCTGTTGGAGTTAATGCAACTTTTATGGAACGAATCAACCTATTGGGTGGACGTTTGTCATATAGCATGGATTTCAATTACAGAGGGAATAGGATTTATTGGACGGATAGAAGTACTAAGAAGGTGTACAGGTAATATTTTTAAAAAAATGAAATGGGGTTTAATGTCCTACTGCTCCCGTCAAAAGGCAAAACCTAGTAACTCACTTTTTTATCAAAATTGAGTTAGGACCAAATTTGTAGTTACTAGGGTATGTGCTTCCTGTTGTTGTACTAAATCTTCCAATCTTTTGATTTTGTAAGCAGTTACACCCATGACACAACCTAGCAACTTCCTTCATTTGCCTAGAATACCACAGCAAAACCTAGTAACTCAACAGTGAAATCAATGAATGAGTTGGGGTTTAATATTCATTCATTACGTTTTCCTGTGTTTTCTAAAAAATAAGAAAAAAGTGAGTTACTAGGTTTTGCCTTTGACGGGAGTTAACTGTCCTGTTCCGATTGAGTTATTGAAGACAAGCATACGCCATACACTATATGTTGCCTCTTGCCTATGTCGCTGTAAAGCTGGAACCATGCCGGAAACCCCTGTGAAATTCCCGGCTAACATCAGGTCGAACACGGGACCCCACTGTTAGCAGGCCAACGTCTGAGTCATCATGGCTCAAGGTAAAATAATGTGCTCGTTATTGTTATATCTAGTGGTGCCGAACAAACAAGCTCCCGTGAACACATAGGTGTGCACATAAAAGATCACTTGACAGTTGGAATTCGATAGAAGAGTAGGCCGCTCTCCGGGCAAAATTATGGCACACGGTATGGCGTATGCCCGTCTTCATTAGCCCATTTCGGAGCAGAACAGTAGGACGTTAAACCCCATTTCATTTCATTTCATTTCATCTGGTGGTACAGGACGGGTGATGATAAAGGTCATGTATAAACATTGTAGTTTTCAGTTTTATGTTTAGTTTAAACATAATTATGTTTTGGAAAGAATACATGATGCTATTTTGTTACATTTAATTAAGGCAGATTTATATCTAGACATTTTATTTAATTCTATTTTTCATGAAGTTTAAAGGCCGATGGTAGTGACCTGGATCAGAAAGTTATATTGGAAGGTGATTTGGCTCCAGCGATAGGTCTGGCCTATGATTGGATACATAATAATTTATACGTGTGTGATACACTTAATCAAATCCTGGTAGTGAACCCAGATACAGGTGCCCGGAAAACTTTATTAACTGATCTCCATGAAATAAGTGACGTGGAAGTCGATCCGACAACTGGGTAATATTTATTTTATTTATTTATATATTCAAATTAGCATAAAGCGGGGTTTAATGTCATACTATTCTGCTCCGACTGGGCTACTGAAAACTGGCACATGCCATCCAATTCAAACTGTTAAAACTGTTGAGGCTTTTTATCCCCGTGTTTTCATAGAGTCCAAAGGCATAGACACTCACAAGGGGAGTGGGGGCACTGCGGAAAATACGAATGTGCTTTCTCGGCCAACACCGGAATCAAGACAGAACCTCATGGATTACGAGACAACGCTCAAACCAAAAACCACTGGTCTCGGCAGGACGACCGGTATTCGTTTTCTGTGCATGCGCCAATATTAAGTTTGACCCTATGACCGCCCCCTGCCCCCAACTCGCGCGAAATTATAAATGCCATGAAATGTTTTATTCAGAAATTGAAAGGGGCTGAGGAACAGACATGGACTATAAGACCTCTTTCCTAGATGCAAGAATAAATATAGGACATTTCTTGCATATGACAGTTTATATAGTTTGGTAGCTATTTGGCGACCATCTTGGATTTCACGATGGCATCATGCGTTCTCCATCTGGCGAATAATTTTAATGAAGTGCTGGCTTGCCTCATCCCTAACCTAGTTCTAGACATAACATGTGTTACTCTAACATGAATATCTGGGCTGTTATAGTCAGTTATATGGAATGATGATCATCTTGGACGCCATCTTGAATTTCACCCTTCCTTCCCATGCTAATGACCATAATATTTATTTACTAGTTGGTTATACTGGATAGCTGGTTGGGGTGCAAATGCTTTGTTGATGAAGTCAACGTTAGACGGAAAGAACCAAGTTGTAATATCTTCTGATTTAGACAGACCAGTGAGTTTATCTTTAGGTAAGATTCACGATATTGACTTCAAAGGGACAAGTCAATTGGGTGGGCCACAAATGTTATGGATTGAAGTCTATATTCTTAATTAGTTTATGTACATCGAGGCAAAGATAGTAATTAATCAAGTTAATCATCTGACTTAATTTTAATGAAGGAAATGACTCGTATAGTGTTCCGTCTGATTGGGGTATAACCACAGAATTGCAAGCTACATCTGTGTACTCTGCCTCCAGCTCTACACGTGTTATCAGGGGCGGATCGTGGGGGGGGGGGCAAAGCCCACCCTGCTCAGCTACATAATTTTTTTTGTAAAACAACAGTTAATGAGAAAAGTGTAACGGTCGTGTGCTTTATCCTTTGTTATCAGATGATGGGATGGGCATTCAAAGAGCGAAATAATGATATAGACATGTGTGATATCACACATCAATGAAATTGAATCACAGTGTGATCCCATTATATTCATAATAAAAATTGACATGTTGGATTTCTCTTTTTTATAAAGTTCAATATGTATGTATGCCTACGTAATTTAGAGACGATGATGGCATCATGTATTGTCAACTGCAAAAATTTCCTGGCAAACTCCCTCCTACAAAAATTCCTGGTTCCGCCCCTGGTTATACATTTAGTGCGAGTGGTAGACAGATTCTAGTATCTAATGTATTATTAATATATGCTGTCTCTCGCTCTACACGTGTTAAACATATAGTGTGAGTGGTAGACAGATTCTAGTATCTGGTGTGTTATTAGTATATGCTGTCTCTAGTTCTATACATATAGTTTGAGTGGTAGACAGATTCTGGTATCTAATGTATTATTAATATATGCTGTCTCTCGCTCTACACGTGTTATACATATAGTGTGGGTAGTAGACAGATTCTAGTATCTAATGTATTATTAGTATACGCTGTCTCTAGCTCTACACATATAGTTTGAGTGGTAGACAGATTCTAGTATCTAATGTCTTGTATATATTTATAGATTATGATGAACAGACATTATACTGGACTGAAGTGTCTCTAGTCAACCGTATTAAAAGTATTCGTGTTGATGGCCAGAATATGACCACCATTCACCGAACACTCGCCGGTCGTTTATCTTCCCAACTAAATTACTTGACTGTATCCAGGGTAGGTATTATCGCTTTCAACATGAAATAAAATGAAATGGGGTTTAACGTCCTACTGTTCTGCTCCTATACTGGGCTAATGAAGACGGGCATACGCCATACAGTGTGCTATGAGGGCAATTTTGCCCGGGCAGCGGCACTATCGCCTACTCTTATATCGAATTCCAATTGTCAGGGGATCTTTTACGTGCATTCCCATATATACACGGGACCTCGGTTTTGTGTCACATCCGAAGGAATAGACAGCTGTCCTTGTCAGGGAAACCATGTCGGAAAATCCTGATGAACTTTCTCGGCCAATGCAGGGATCGAACACCCGACCCCAGGCTAGCGTGGGTACCATCGCTTTCAGCATGAAATAAAATGAGGTTTAACGTACTAAGGTTCTGCTCCAACTGATATAAGGAAGACGACCATACGATCTACACAGTGCTGTAGGGGGGGGGGGGACTTTTACAAGCACAGTGACCAGCATAGTGACCAGGTACGCTGTTTCCAATCGGTACAGAACAGTAGGACGGCAAACCTCATTTCCATTTATTTCGTATTCCCAATACACAACGAATTGTTGATTTCCAGGACTACATCTATTGGAACCAAGGTCTTGAATCTATCAGACGAGCCAATAAACATCAGGTTACTGAAATTACCAGATACAGAGACCTAGAGAGTGATAACATACCTACATTGTTTATGGGTATTCTTGCCATTGATCCAAGAAAACAACCAGAAAGTACGTAACTATAAATGTCTTTATTCTGTTAAATACGGTATTGGAGACTCTAAATGGTACGCATAAACCGCACGACAAGCCATGCTGAATAAAAATGTAGGGGGGGGGGCGAATGGTTAGCACGTGAGCGCTGTTTCATACGGTATGTCATTGAGTCAATTGACGTGGTTTCGATTCCCCGGTTGTACGTGACAAGGAGTAGTGTCTTACGTTTCTGGATTCACACTGTTTTCAGAATATTTATCAATACCCCACTAATAACAAATTTAAAATGTTTAGGGTATATAACAAATTAGTATCGTTTATTTTCTTGGTAAAACTTTATTTTAAATTTTGCAGGTCCAAGTCTGTGTGGAGATAATAATGGCGGGTGTTCCCATTTCTGTCTAACGGCATTGATACAATCTACTCAGCCATATAACTGCGCATGCCCAGATGGAATGAACTTAATGGATGACAACTCAACATGTTCAGATGAAACACTGATTTAGCGTTATTAAACATACGAAGGTCTTAAGAGTGAATTTCGATATGTTGAAAGTGAATTCTGGTGATTTTATATGTTTAAAAATAATTCAATATTAAACATACATACTTTAGACCTGAAATGTTATATAAACTATTAAGTACGCATTATGCAAGAGCTAAATCTGCCTATTCCAGTTCTTTCTTTAGGCCTGAAATGTTATCTAAATTATTAATTAGACATTAATTGACAAATCCAGACTGTAATGAACTCTCGGTGGCATTGCTAGCCTGCGATATTTATTGGATTACAACCCGGTCTGCTGCTGCTGATTAAATCAAACAATGGATAATCGCGACTAAGTTGTTTATCTTATCGACGAAGGAGGCTAGGCCCAAAATTCAATCGATCAATTTGACTGAAATTTTCATCAAATTCCCTTTACATTATTTAGTTTTTAACTATTATAGTGACATTTTTATAATTGAAATGGTTATTATACATAAAATGTACAAACAAAATGTAACCATTAAAGGAGCAGAATTGCAATTCTTTGGCACCTAGAAATGGACAAAAATGGATCGCTACGCATATAATAATGTAATATTAATGTATATAAACTGATTTTTCATTCAATCGTTTCCGTTTTTACTGTAATTTCTAATCACTTATGTTCGGTGTAGCAAGCGAAGAGGCCCAATTGAATGACCGCATTTGGCGTCTGGTTATTTCAGTCTACACCGGTAGCATTATAATGTTGGGTATGGTTTATCGAGTCGCTTCATTATCGTTAACATTATCGTTTTGTCTTGAATATTGGATATCAGAGGCCAATCTTTTCACGGTAAGATAACAACATCATGGTTGACCTAAAAGTTGTGTTTGCAATGTCGAAGACTATGAATGATATTTGGGTTGACAGCAAACATAATAAATATGTGTAACCATGACAAAACGTATATTCATGGCAATACGAGTAACCATGACAATAGATGTAACTATGACAATACATGCAACCATGGCAACACGTGTAACCATGTCAATATGTGTAACTTTGACAGTACATGTAACCATGTCAATACGTGTAATCATGTCAATATGTGTAACCATGACAGGATGTGTAATCCTGACGATACGTGTGATCATGTCAATATCTGTAACTATGACAATACGTGTAACCATGTCAATATCTGTAACTATGACAATATGTGTAACCATGTCAATATATGTAACTATGACAATACGTGAAACCATGTCAATACGCGTAACCATGTCAATATGTTTAACAATGATAATACGTGTAACCATGTGTAACCATGACAGGATGTGTAATCCTGACGATACGTGTGATCATGTCAATATCTGTAACTATGACAATACGTGTAACCATGTCAATATCTGTAACTATGACAATATGTGTAACCATGTCAATATATGTAACTATGACAATACGTGAAACCATGTCAATACGCGTAACCATGTCAATATGTTTAACAATGATAATACGTGTAACCATGTGATTACATATAACAATGACAGGATGTGTAATCATGTCAATACGTTTAACCACGACAATATGTGTAGCCTTGCCAATAACTTTGACTTGACCCCGGGAATGCTTGTTATAGGTTTTAAGATCGATACAACATTAACCAGACCATTGTGGGATTAACAGGTGGTATTTCGATAATGTGACGAGTTAGATCAATCCCCTTCCCATCAGCAATTGGAAATCTAGGAAAAGTACTGGAATAATGATAGTGTTAGTCTCTTTAATTGAAGACTAATAATGACCATCATGAAGGAATTAACAAGTAATTCAAATGAGAATCTGATTAAAATACAGATCTATATTTCGTTCCGTTTTTTGATACTTTCGAAGGCCTACACTACATGAAGATCTGACAAGTTGTCCTCGAAGGTCGTGACAGGGTCATACGAGCGGCTTTTGACCCTATGACGTCAGACATTGATTAATCAATGAGCGTTGACGTTGCTAGTGGTTTTACCACCAGTTCCGTGCATGGCACGCCAAGAAGTCGCCGTAACAGACCATTGCATTGGCTAATCCCTCACTTCAACCAAAACGTCGGTAATATAACAACTCTTCCAGATCCTAGTATAGTTCAAAATATCGTGTTACTTGTCTTTACATGTAGTAGAGGCCATCAAATGTACATATATAAAAAAACGAAATAAAGATCTGTATTTTTAATCAGATTGGATAACTCTGTTATCTTTATATAGTATTGTATGTGTGGTAGATTTTAGTTTATCTGTCTTTTTTACTTGATATCTATATATTTACCTGACATTGTTATCTCCCCTTAGACAACAATGCAAGGCAGATAACTCTCATTATACAATAATCTATTTGCTGTAGATGTTGGTTCATCTTACCTTTTATTCATATCAATATAATTCATGCTTGTTATAATTCCACAAATTTTACATCTTTTATAGATTGATTTGTTTAAATATTAAATTAGTTAACATAGGCAGATTTAGTTTTAACTTGATCAACAGAGAAAATATGTTAGTTTAATGTTCTATCTTTCTGCACCAACTGGGATAATAAAGACAAGCATCCGCCATTTCAAAAGTTTTATTTTATAAAACCCATTTTTGATTTTGATATGTGGCAGTATATTTTGTATGCATATCTGTTACAATCAGGGGCGGCTCCAGGAATTTTTGCAGGAGGGGGTTTGCCAGGCACTTTTTAAGGAGATTTGACAGTTGACAATACATGATGCTATAATCGTCTCTAAATTACGTAGGCATACATACACATTGAGCTTTTTAAAGAGAGAGATCCAACATCCCGTTTGATGTCAGTTTGTATAATGAATTAATAGGACCACATTGTGATTGAATTGCATTGATGTGAAGCATTAATTGTGATATCACATATGTCTATATCATTATCTAGCGCTTTGAATGCCCATCACATCCCACCATCTGACGATAAAGGATAAAGCACACAACCGTGACACTTTTCTCATTAATGAGATTTGTTTATGTAGCTAAGCAGGGTGGGGTTTGACCTCCCCCCTCCCTGTTCCGCCCCTGACAACGGTTAGCTGCCATTTTAGCTCCCATTTATTGGTAGAAAGGAACTATCTTTCAATTAGCCACTATTAGATTATATCTTGAGGTGGCCATTTAAATTGCTTGTTTATCTTAAAGTTACAATTTTATATTTTCTAAGAAAGTCAAAACATAATTATTTCTATGTCGTTTGCTCAATAGCTTGTCAACTCACTATTATACGATCATGGATGTCATTCTCACACTTAAAACTCATTTATACCGGAAATAATAACACAATTACCCCCAATTACCTCCCTTGTTTTCTATTCTCCACCATGGAGTAGCTATCCTCAAACGTTTGAATTTGAAGAGACAAATGATATTTTTGCTAATTTCTTAACTGGCAATAGTGAATTATAGGATTAATGGGATTATTCTTTAACAAGGTAGGACTTTAATATACTTTTTAATATTCACTATTGGTCTTGGGGTAAGGGTGGGCAAGTGGTGGTTGGGTGTTCGATCCCTGCACTGGCCCAGAAAGATCATCTAGATTTTTAGGCGTGGTTCCCCTTGTCAGTGATGTAAGACGGAGGGCCTGACAAGAACAGCTGTCTAGTCGTTCGGATGGGACGAAAACCGAGGTCCCGTGTACACACTGGCGTGCACGCAAACATTCCCTTGACAGTTGGAATAGGATATAAGATTAGGCCGTAGTGCCGCTGCCCGGGCAAAATTTCGCCCCATACCACACTGTATTTCTATTGATCTATAGAGAATAAATCCACCATTTTCACTACTCTTCATTGAATTCGAATTGCTGATGGATCTTTTATGTGCACTAATAAATTTGTACACGCCCAAGCTCTGCAAAAAATCGCAGCCCAATATCAAGTTTTCTAGACGTTGTTTTTCTAAGGAGTTGGGAGGGGGGGATGTTGCATGGACCTTATAACTTGCATTGGGGGTCAAGTCAAACTTGTTGACATGATTAAACGTATTGACATGGCTACACGTATTGTCATGGTTAAACGTATTGGCATGATTACATGTATAGTAAGGATTACACGTATTGACATGACTACACGCATTGCCATGATTACACGTATTGTCATGGTTACACGTATTGTCATGGTTACACATGGTTACACGCATTGTCATGGTTACACGTATTTATTCTGTATTTAAATTATTTTCCATAATTGTTTCGTTTGTACATATTATGCATGACAACCTTTTCAATTAAAAAAATGCTATTACTAAGAATATGGCTTTTGAAGTCAAATCTAGTGTCATAAGGTTAATTCAGTGTTTCATCTGAACATGTTGAGTTGTCATCCATTAAGTTCATTCCATCTGGGCATGCGCAGTTATATGACGGAGTAGAATGTATCAATGTCGGTAGACAGAAATGGGAACATCCACCATTATTATCTCCACACAGACTTGGACCTACACAAATTAAAACAGAATAACATATTTTTTTTTATTAGTACCGATAAGTACTCTGGAACACCTGTGAATCCAGCGACTTCTCCCCCCCCCCCCAAAAAAAAAAATCGATACACAAAATGAAATTATCAACTAAAACTGAGACGGGGGGTCCGGGGTGGTTCAGTAAGTAAGACGTTGGCCAGTTGTATATTTTGAAAGTCTCAGATTCCGGCTTCCATATTTGTCGGGAAGTTCCCCTGGAAATTTCCTGACGTGGTTCTATTCCAGTTGTCAGTGGTGCAGGGCGGAGATCCTAACAAGGAAGACTGTCTAATCCGTGGCATCGGACGAAAAATTGACGTACTTGCAGAATTTCCCTCATAACACACTGTATGTTAGTTTAGATTGAATGTTTCCCCTCCAGGATAATAGTCTCTATCATCCAGACATATATTAGTTTGGATGGTTTGTCAACATTTGAGAATAACTAGGTCATTGTCTAGATTATCCGGTCTTTTACATTATAATGAACAAAAGTTAAGGGAAGTAACTAGCCCTAAAACAAGATCTCGACGCCCATGCAATTAATTCAAGACTGCCATTTCAGAAAAAAAGGGTATCTATATGCATTGCCTGTTCAATATCCAATACTCTTAATTTTTTTATTGTTAAAATTTCTCTCTTCAAGAACCATAATCTCAATTTCTCGTCACCATGAACGCTAAAAAGTTCCATTGTCCATGCGTAACCGGGGGTTTTATTAATGTGGTTGATTATCCAGTAAATTTCGCCAAATCTTGACAACCGACCCAGTAACATCGTGCGTTTATGTCTAGGAAGTTCTGGGTGACCGAGACTACAAATAGTTAGTAAGAGAACAAATAAGTTAGGAAGATGGTACACTGGTTTTTACACCGAACCATGTTCAACGTGGGGAGCCGCGGTGGCTCAGTGAATAAGCCACTAGCTCGATATACCAAGATATATGGGGTTTGCTATCGGATATGTCCAGTGAATCTGAGCAGGACGGAGTGGCAGGTAATGAACACGATCTAGTCGTTTGGATGGCGTTGAAGACAGTGGTACCGCGTACATGTTGGATTGAACGGAATAGAAGAATTGCCGGTTGAAATTCGAAATAAGCGTAAAAGTAGGATGTAGCGCCGCTG